GTGTGGGATATCCAGGGTGATCCAGTGTATGTGAACAGTGAGATGTTTGGGCGCTGAAGTCGCCATAGCCAATTGAGAGTGAACTCGTATCTGAAAGCCATATCTCCGAGTTTTGAGTGGCCGCATGTCGTCAGTATGCTGTGTTGCTGTTTACATGTATGAAAAGTGTGTTTGAGAACGAGTCTGATTGCAGTAGTGGTGGTTTAAAAGGAAAAGAGAAAGGGATGGCTGATCTGCAGGAATGACTGTGGATGTTGCCGGAGTTTGCTTTGCGGGTAATTGGTGGTCAATGCAAGTGCTGCTAGGTGGACAAGGGAGGGGGATGAAGAAGAGTTGCTGAGTTCTTGTAACATCATCAACAGAGATTGGAAGATTGATATCTGTGCAGTTTGGTGCTAATATCTTTCAAGGTTCAACAGTATAAGCAGAGATTGACTGTTACCTTAGATAATCTGTACAAGGCATGGAGACGTGCTCACCACCATCTCACATTATATGATTTCCACATTGAGGTGATAGTACAGTGATACTTAGAGAACCCCCCCAGAACATGTTTTACAAGCTTTTGGCCATACTAGATGATGATGATGTAAGCGACAGACATCGTGCGGTCATGCACCACATCCGAATGAAAAGGGGGAGGAAGGCATGGGTCTCAGAGGGCTTAGGGTAGAAAAGAGGCAAGAATGACAGGGATGGAGAAGTGGTACGTCTGGGAAAGGAAGCAATCAATGGCGCCACCTCAGGGACGCTTGGTTGTAAGGAAAGGAAGCGTGAGTGGGTTTCTGTTGTAAAGGATGTTGGACCCAGTTTCCAGCCATTTAATAAAAATGATGTTTAAAGTTTAAAGTATTAAAAGAGAGAGAAAGAAATGCAATAACTTAGCTCAAATCATGCATCAGCTGCGGCCGTGGGCTGCTACCGTGGTCAAAGAGGCCAAAACAGGGGTCCTAGGCCATGCCCAAGTCATGCAACAACCCATGAGAAGGTCTGCTGCTGTGAGCACCCGAAACAAGGCCTGGAAACTGGCCTTCAGAGGCCCAACGTGCGACACTTGACCAAAGAAAGTCAACAGTCCACAGCAGCTCCGAAATTCAGATTCACGAGTGAAAGTCAACGCGGATCTGGTCCAGGCTGTCAATCAGACATGCACCTGTGGCTGTTTGCAGGTACCCGCAAGAGATCAAGACCAGGTGGAAATCTGCAACTGTAAGGGATCCAAGCCATTGGCTGCAAAGTAATCTGGGCCGTTGCATTCGAGAGACCAGAGGCTGGTCAACCTCGAGTCAACACTATAAGAAGACCCAGCCCTGTTGACCGACATTCAGTCTTGCACTTGCTGCTCGACACTGGCTGGATGCTAGCTCTACGCTGGCATAACGCTGGTTCTGCGCTGGCTTGATATTGGACGACGACGCGAGACTGCTCTGCGATTACTTGATGCTGGCGCCCTCTCTGTCTTTGACACCAACTGGATCAGAGATCATGCTGACGTGGCATTGGCCACACTGTCTACAAGATTGATGAGACATCGGCGAAGAGGAGGATCAGGGCTGTGAGATTGTGGGAAGCTTACCTGTCTGCGATCGATCAATGTTGCACATTGCTGTTCATCTTCAGATGTTGTCTGCGCTGGCAAGCGCTATCATGAGACCTGCTCTTTGTCAGATTGTGTCAGAGGGGACTGTCTGCTGACGTGGCGAAGGGAGATGCCCTAAGGAGAAGGGGGTTCTGAGGGAGACCTATCTGCTAAGCTGATGGTTACTTTCTCTTCCCCCTTTAATCTCTTCTCCCTCCTCTCATCTTCTTCTCTGGTGACGAGACATTGAGCTACTTTATTACTTGTATGCGCTGAGACATTCTGTATCTTGACATTGACGAGCTTCTCTCCTGACTGGGTTCATTGCAATTTTGTATCAGAGCGATATCCTCCATTTGTTTCACTGAGGTGATGTTATAGTAGCAGCTTCACATCCCCCACTTGCTCCCCTGTTCTATTGTTTATAGGTTCTCCTCTTTCTAACTGGTTGATAAAATGATAGTAATGACAATAAGCCGGTGATAAGCTGATTATATTATGACAGTAATGACAAAAGCGGGTAATTTGGCTCTCTTTCTTGCAGCGACGGACTTTCAAGATCATGGCTGGAATGCTGACTGGTTGCTGGATCCTCTCTTTGGATTGTAAGTTGATTTAGTTCTTTTTGCCCTGTGTTCTTTTTTTTCCCGTTACTTGTTGTTGTTGTTGTGGTGGTCGTGCTGGTTGTTATCTTCTTCTTTCCTTCCAATGGCTTCATAATAGTCATCCTGTTAGCTTCGTTGCATGAAGATTCCTGGAGGCATGATGGAGCAAGCGTTGAGGAAACGACTTGTATGTTCTTCTGGGGTTTTGGCACATGAAGGAATAAGAGAGCAAACTGCAGAATTACAGAGGCATCAGAGGAAGTAAGGCATTGGAGCCAAACATCACCCTAGTCATACTACCAACCTTCTTTGAATCGTACCAGCGGCTCGAAACTACTGGTCGTGGAATTTGCTCTGCAGTTGCTACAGCCTTATGGCCAGCCCAGGTCTATTGCTGTTGCTATTGCAACTTCATCTCAAGAGCACTTTTGGAGAGGGAAGAGGGACAAAGAACATGCAGAAAAGGAGAAAGGGGGGTGGGAGGAGGGGGAAGGCAGAGGGAAGGAGGTAACCAAAGAAAGGAACTTGTGGGACAAGAGAAAACAAATGGCAAAAACTCAAAGAAAACGAAGGCCCTCCTCGTCCTCCTCCTCCTCCCCCTCCTCCTCCTCTTCTTCTTCTTCTTCTTCTTCTTCCTCCTCCTTCTCCTCCTCCTCCTCCTCTTCTTCTTCTTCTTCTTCTTCTTCTTCTTCTTCTTCTTCTTCTTCTTTCTTTATTTTTTCTTCTTTCTTCTTCTTCTGAATGCTGCTGCTGCTCGTCATCGTCACAAAATCCAGTGCGGATGGTGTGCAATCGAACTCTCACAATCTGATGCAGATGGTGTGCAATCTAAATTCCGACCCTTCTAAATGTCTGGACTTCCCCGATTCCTGAACTTCCTGGATCTCCTGAAGTCTTCCCAGCGTTATTCATGTTGGTTTGTTGAACAAAGAAGGGCCTGTGATTCTGTCCTGTGCAGGGATCCAAAAGAGCCTCCTTGACGAGGCACATCCCATGGAGGACTTTGAGGTGGCTAGCCTCAAAAGTCCCGAAGGTCCATTGACAGCAGGAGGTCCAAGACATGGGCGCATCGTCAGAAGTCAAAGTCGAGGCAGGCGCTTGCTTGAGGTGTGTTAATGAAGTGCTTACCAGCTCGACACTGCGAAAATTGATTGCATCAGAAACCAGTGGGGGGTTATGAATCAGTCCCCCAAAATCACAATTCGTACTACTTCATACTTCATAGTGGTTATTTTTTAGCTTGTAATCTCTACGTACTACTAGTGAGTGATTAGCAGTTAATAATTACTGATTATGAGTAGCCAAAAGTAAGTCTTATGCAAGTTATAGCTGAAATGCTTGCCCCATATCATCCAGAATGTGGTGTACAATATAGCACTATGTTGCGTCTGTTGACGCTGTTGCGTCTTTTATGGTATGGATTCTATGGAATCTATACATAAGTAATGCAAAGCTGGACTCATATAAGATACAAGTGGACCCACAGCAGGCTACGCCTGTGGCAGAGGGTGACATTGCTGCCTTGCAAGGGACATGAAAGAGAACGATTTTGTGTTTCCTTGTCTTTCTTCTTTTCTGTCCTCCTGTTTGTGATGTTCGGAGGGTGGAGGGGGGTCTACGAGTGATATGCGTGGTTTATTTTGCAGGAGTAGAGACATGTGACCTGAAGGCGGCCTCTCTCTCCCTCTCTGTGGGTGTCGTCATGCAGCAGATGACCGCAACAATGTGTGTGTGTGTGCTGTCTCTTATACACATCTAGATGTGTATAAGAGACAGCCCCAACACAGGGCCCGCGTATACAGAAGTGCAATGTGGATCTCATAGACAGAGTGGAAATTATGGAATATTACATAGCACAGTTTGTTGAAAGACTGTCCAGCTCGCATTTTCTAGGCTGCCATGGACAACACAGATCAGTGACAGTGAAGTTTCACTAAGAACTTAGGACGCGGACTCGTCACGGAAGGAGACAACGGATGAGCAAAGGTCTGGCCAGAACGAGGAGATGTGAAGCATCGACAGAGCCGCCGTAGTAGGCGTGGAGGGAAACCGACCAGTGAAAGGCATTCCACGATGCAGACCCCGAATTCGAATCTCAGAGTCAAAGTTCCCAGGCCGAAAGTGGCCAGGTCGGCCGGTTTCAGAAAGGTTGTGTTGGGTACCCCAGAAGTTCAAGTCCAACAGGTACCCGGTCAACAGTCACATCCAGGAGGCAAAGGGTCACGTCTCACAGTCAAAAGTTGTGTTCCACAGATAAGAGTCACATCTTGCAGTCAAAAGTCGTATCCCACAGGCAAGGGTCACGACCCACAGACAAAGGTCTCGTCCCACAGAACCAAAGCAGCAGCACACCAAGGAAAACCCAGGAAGGTACCGGGCCTCAACATTCTGAAGCAAGCGGGCTGCGGGCAGCCAGTACCGGATCCAAGTCAAGCCCTGGGACGAGTCAAGGCTCAGTCCAAGTCAACATAAGGACTGGCCAGCCTCATTTTGGGCAGATTGCTCATTCACAAGAAGTGTGGAAGTGCTGCTGAGGCGCTTGTGTGCTATCTGCGAGTAGCTAGCGCTGGAGCCCTGGCTGGGCAGCACTGCGCTGAGGAAGGAAGGCAGTCATAGCCGCACAGCTAGTAGTAGGAGGTAGAGCTGAGTAGTGATGGATGTATCCAGAGTCAAGATCTTCATGTAGAGAGAGAGAGGACACATGCATGAGGGGACACACACACACACACGCACACACACACACACACACACACACACACACACACACAGAGAGAGAGAGAGAGAGAGAGAGAGAGAGAGAGAGAGAGA